GGGAAAATTCTCCACTTAGAAACAATGCTAGAGATATACCTGATAGGGCTTTTTTTCTCCCTTGGCCACTTCCCTCTTGGCAACGGGGATGAAGTTCTGCCTTTGCAAAACATTTTAAAACCTGTTTCTGTTCCAATTCAGAATCACCCACCCCAAAGCTTTCCAGGTTATCTGTAAAATAAAACCTAGAGAAATGGATGGCTTGAAATGCTTCAAACTGATAAACTCAAAATACATTACTTTGACTGTAATTTTGGTTTGTGTTATGAAGCAAAGTGAAAATGTTAAAAACCACTGAACAGATAGCCATTGGAAATGGGAAATGTTGTTTTGAAATTGAAGAAATAGAATGTTTTTGCCCTGCAGACCACCTTCCCTTTCCTCCGAAGCTTGACAGAGTTTCACAAAACATTTCAAGTTTGATGTGCTGTGTTTTGGGGGGAGCTGAGCTGTTTTTGTTGGGGGGGTAAGGAGAAACTGCAGGAGCAAAGGAAACAGCTGGAATCCAGACAAGGTGCACCAGTGGGACCAGTCCCTCCAGCTGGGCTCCCGTGCTGGTTTAGGCTTGATTTTGGTGCTCCTGAGCCCCATTTCAGCTGCTCCAGAAGTGCCCAGAGGAGGCAGAGGTGTGCATGGGAAGGCAGCTGCTCCGGGGATGAGGAACAGGCAGCCCGTGCTGCTCCATCCTGTAAAAACCCACCTCAAACCCTTCCCTGGTTATAAATAAAGCAGCCACTGACCTCGGAGATTAATCAGTGGGCTGGTGTCTCTGCGTGATGTCACCCCGTGTTTTTCCACAGGCCTGTCAAATCTCAGCCTGTCTGATGTGCCGATGACAGCCGCGCTCGCGCCTGCCAGACGCACTGGGCTGGACGCGGAGGCCGCCAGGATTTATGGCCGGATTCTCCCCAGCTCTCCCGCACACACAATACACAGATGCCTCTGCAGGATGATGGAAACCGGGGCTGCTCGGCAGTGTGGGTGTTTTTAGGTGTTATTGCACCATTTCTGGCCTTTGGTGACTCCTGTGACTAACACAGCTGGATTTGCGGTGATCCATCTGAACCCGGGTGCTCCAAGAGAAGCCTGTCAGTCTGGTGGGCAAGGAAGGGAGGGATGGAGCCAGGGCCAAGCTGATGCCATGGCTGGATCTCTTGTTGGGAAACCAGCTCTCTCCAGTGCACTGCACCTGGCAAAGGCATCTGGAAAGGCACAAAAGCTCCTGGTTGGAAACCCAGGTCTGACATCAGGGATTTAATTCCACTATTTGACCTTTACTCCTGCTTGCAGCTGAACCTGCAGCCTGCTCCCCTGCCCATGCTCACCAGGCAGGAGCTGCTCAGCTCCAGCCCAGCACCAGCGGGCACATGTGGGAGGGGAGGATGAACCCACAGTGTCTGAGCCCAGACAGCAACAGAGGCCAAAGGGTCACACACACTCATGTGCAAGGTGAGGCACTGCATGTCCACACAGCAATTTATCAATTAATTTGAGAAGGAACAAAGTAATTAACACTGGAAGCAGGGGATAGACTAACTAAGCACATGCTGTCACTCTGCTAACAGGGCTTGTTTGTTTGGCTTCTGTTCCTATGGAGGTGGGGGCCATGTCGAAGGGTCAATTCATTGCTCTGGTTATTTGTATCTATCCAAAATGCATTCTTCACATCTCAGGGAGATAGCCAGGGGCTAACTGGGGACTGCTCAGCCTTTGGGAGCTGTGTTCTTTTGGGGGATAGAAGACCTTCCTACCACAGCCAAGTGCTGGAGTCACCAGGACTCAACACTAAGCACATGCTCACCTTTGCTGGACCAGGTGCAGCTTGCAGAGGGCCCGGGGCTCCCATGGCTTTCATGTCCTGGTATTGTCCCCCAGCAAGGAACCCCTTACCCATCCTAGAAAGGAACCCCTACCCTGTCTCCAGAGAGCTGGAACTGCTCCTGAGCGTCATTCACCATCTGGGGAATGTGGGGGTCAGGGCCAGCTCTGCCAGCAGCAGATGGCCCAGCACGGAGCAGGAACACCTGTCTCAAGCCCACCTCTCTCCTGGGGCTCCACTGGTGCCACTGGGCTGGGCAGTGACAATGTCCATCACTGTCCCCAGCCGTGCTGGAAACGAGCTCGATGGAGGCTGCAGTCCCAGCAGCACACAGAGCCCCCCTCAGTCCCTTCTCCACAAGTCCAGGACTTTGGTTGAGCTGCTTTATCAACCCCAAAATAAGTTCCCAATAAATATGTCTACAGTAGGTCTTTGTTCCCTCAGAAAAAGGGTTTCCCATGAGGTGAGCCAGCCTGGCACTGAGGGTAATCCCAGGACAGTGATGTTTCCCTGTTTCAAGCAGCTGTGATTATGCAAGGCTCCGAGTGATTCCTGGGGCTGCCACGGGAAAGGTGAGCTCCCTGGCAGTGCCCAGCACGGGCTTTGGAGGAGCAATCCCTCTGCACCTTGGCTCAGCCCAGCCCCTGTGCCTGCACAGCCAAAGCAGGAACCCAGTGCTGTGACAGGAGAGACAGCAGGAGAGGACAGGGGCAGGCAAGATCACTCTGTCTTCATCTCCATGCAAAGATGGGACCATCCATGTGTGCTCATCCATGGCTTCCAAACCCTGGCTGCTGGTGCCTCGAGCACACTGCAGGCTGAATGCCACCTCTGGAGCAGCTCTTTGGGGCAAGAAATTCTCCTCCTTAGGGATAACACTGACCATGGGATGTTCCTGTGCCCCTCGCCACAGCTCTGTGTGTGACACTGGGACCTGCAGCAGCTGCCCCAGCTTCCTGGCATGACCAGCCACCACCTTCAGCATCCAGGGTACGTCTGTGGAATGACCGACCTGCTAAGAAAATAGAGAGCCCGTTCCTTTGAAGTTAATGAACTGTGAAAGCCTTTGAAAGCAGAGCCTTGTTTATTTACTCACCGCAGCTCATGTGGACGAAGCACCCAGACACCCCGAGCGCTGCTAATTTGAATGGAAGATCAAACACGAGGCTCTGCCCTGTTGGAATGAGAGCTGCCCTGGCCTCTCCGCTGCCCATCGCAAACCCACGGCAGTGCCTGGGCTGTCAGCCGGCTTTTATGGAGAGGAGCATCAAATAAGCCACCAGGCTGACAGAAATTCAGTATCTTGGGTGCAAAGCTCTGACACCCAGCCTGAACATTTCACCTCACACCGAAATTCAGCTGTGACCCCTCCTGAAGACACATCACCCTCCTCTCCCAGGGCTGGCACTGCTGTGTCTTGCTCTCATCCTGAGTTTCATCCCCAGCCAGAGGTCTCACACAAGACCTGCACGCTCACATGAACATCGTGCTTGTCACCTCCTCCCTCTCCCTCCCATGAGAGCAGGATTCAGAGTGTTCCAGCCCCTGTCTCTGTGTTAAAACAGCCCAGTAACAGAGAAAAGCCCACAAAACGGCCACAGCAGAGCCTCCAGCATGCTGCCCACTGTGATGGGTCTTCTGAACAAATTCTCAGCCTTCTAGTCTATAAATATCAGCCTTTTTAGTCCACTTTGGGGATAAGCTGTAATGCAATATTCTGTGTGGGCTCTGGGACAAAAGGACAGCACCCCACCAGCACCAGCTTTCTGTCACTGCAGTTTTCCAAAGCATAATTGGATTATAACCATGTGTGAGCTTCTAGTCCCTGTTTCTCCCAGGCTGGGGAAGTCACTCTCTGATCTGAACAGGAATAGGAAAGAAAGAGCAGAATGAGCTGAGCTGGCTGGAGGGGAGGGGGTGGCCGAGGGCTCTGGCAATGTGGAAAGGACTTTAGTGGATAATGGGGTTTACAGTCCCAGTAATTAATCAGGTACATCACAAAAGTGCTGACAATGAGAGGTTACCAAAATGCCTGCTCACCTCCATGGTGTGAAAGGACCAGCCAGGGATGGCGTGGGGAAGAGGGAACTGCCAGGCAAGGTTGGTCTTCACCAAGTGTCAGTCACCAGTTTTAGGGCGATGAAGGAAGGAAAACTGAGAGCCCAGGGCAGTTCATCCACTAGCTCAGGTGAGCTACACAGGTGACAGAGACACGTAGAGAAGGGAGAGCCCTCTCCCAGTTAGTGCAAAGGGCTGTGTGTGAGCTTGGACACCGATACCCAATGGTGGCTCTTGCTTTGGCCATCACCGTGCCAGGGAGTGGATGCCCACTGTGTCGCTGTGCCCCAGACCTGCAGGTCCCCGGGCATCTGTGGGGTCCGCACCGCCTCCGCCCCACGGCTGGGATCCTCCCGGCAGCCCCGCACCGGAGCCGCCAGCTCCTGGCGAGCCGATCTCCGTGCGCTGCCCGCCCCGGGGCGCTGCTGCGGGCGGACACAGCCCCGCGGGGCCCCGCGGAGCGCGGCTCGCCCTGCGCTTCTCCACCCAGCAGTGACACCTGGCGGGGCCGAGCGCGGGCGGAGCCGGCCCCAGCCCCAGCACCCCGATCCCGCATCCCGGATCCCTCACCCCGCATCCCGCAGCGCCGCTGAGCCCCTTCCCCGGGAGGGCCCCGACGGGGCGGCCGCGACCGGCGGCTCCGCTCAGCATCCCCGCGGGTGCGGGAGCGGCGGTGGGAGCGGCTCCGGTGCGGGACGGCTCCGGTGCGGGACGGCGGGGGCAGGAGCCCGGAGGGGGCAGGAGCCCGGAGGGGGCAGGAGCCCGGAGGGGGCTGTCCGACGTGCCCTCGGGGAGGCGGGGGTCGGTCCGGCCGGAGCGGCGGCTCCGCGTCTCTGACTCTGCCCAATGAGAGCCCGCAGCACGGCGGGCGCCGGCAATATTTGGCCGCGGCCCCCGCGCTCCCATCCCCAGAGCGCCCTCGCCCTCCGCGCAAGGACCTCCATGGCCCGGCCCGGCCTCGCCGCCCGCCCCGCTCCGCTCGGGAGCCGCCGGCCCCGCTGAGAGCCCCGCAGCCCCGGGGGAGCCCCCCCGCCGCCCCCCGCAGCAGAATGAGCCCGGCCGCGGGGGCCCAGCCGGGGCTCGCTCAGCAGCGCGGAGCCGGCGGACGCGCCGCGGGGCCGTGACGGGCAGTGCCCCGAGGGGAGAGCGGGCAGGACCCCCTTCCCCGGTCATTTCTCCATCTGGACCCCGCCCCGGAGAGATATGCTCAGCCCAAACCGCCTGGAAGCGCCTCCTGGGATTGCCGTGGCCCCCGGGCGTGCGGAGTGCGGAGCCTTCCCTCGGACGGCGGGCGCGGCCCCCCGGCTTTGCCTTCCCCTCGTCCTCCTCCTGCTCGCCCTGACGCCCCGCGCCGACTCCTCGTGGTGGTGAGTGAGACCCCGCGACGGCGACCCGACGGTCCCCGGGCCACCCCGGGCCACCCCGGGCCTCCCCGGGCCACGTCGGGCCACCGCGGGCACCGGGGAGTGCGTGGGGCGCGGTCGAGGGACGGGGATGGAGATGGAGACGGGGATGGGGGATAGGGATGAGAACGGGAACGGGAACGGGGTGGGGACGTGAATGGGGATGGGGACGGGGAAGAACGACTGCGGGTGGGGGCAGCGCCGACGGGAGCGCCGCGAGCCCCGCAGAGCCGGAGCCGGAGCCCGACGTGCGGCCGTGGGAGCCGGCGAGGACCGGCCGGGGCTCTGCGGGCTCCCCGTGGCTCCACCTGTGCCGCTCCCGGACTCCCGAGCAGAGCGGCGGCCCGAGTGGAGCGGCGGAGACGGAACCGCCCCGGGGCCGGTTCCGAGTCTTTCCTTGGGCGCCGTCACCGCGGTGGTCACGGGCGCCCCGAAAATGCCGCCGCTCCTTCCCTGGGGATGGGACTCGCCGCAGGGACCTCCGGTTCTGTCGGGAGCCGAAGCCCGCGGGCTGCGGGACCTCTGACAGCCACGCTTTAGACAGGGGGAAGCGACGGCCGCTTGGAGCCCCTGAGCCACCCTGACCTCGCCGGAGCTCCCATCCCCGCGGGCTGCGCTCCTGCCTGCACGGTTATATTACTTTGTTCCTGGGAAGCGAAGAAGTTGATGTCCCCCTTCCTTTAGATAAGATGAGGCTTTGTAACAGACAGAAATGACGCCATAACAAAAACCTTCTGGAAATTAGTCTCCTCCTGCCCCGGTTCGTGTAACAATGAAAATTCATCTATGCAGAATAACAGTAATTAGGAAAACAAGGATCGAGAAGTTTTCCAAGAGACCCTGTGCTGTTTCAGTAGTTCAGCAACACTGGAGGACAAAAAAAAAAAAAATAGTTGGCTGCAGAAAAGTTCTCAGTGTCCCCCACCCTTAAAAGTCCTCTCTAATCTTGTGGAAAACAGCGTTTTCCATGCCAATCTCATCATCATTAACAGATCACGGTGGATGAGGCAAAACTTAATCAAATTCAACCCATCTGCCACTGAAAGAAAAAAGTAGTTTCTGGAAATTCTCAGCTACCGTGGAGCATTCTGTAAGGGACCGGGAGCACATGCAGATAGGACAAGTATTCCCGGAGTTTGAGAGCACGTCTGGCCGGGCTGCCTTTCCTAGAAGAGCCATTCCAGGCTGAGAAAGGCGGGTGGAAAAGCTGTGGGGCTGGGAGGGAGCGCGGAGCTCAGGGGACAGGGGACGGGGCAGCTGGCAGCAACCAAGCACAAAAGCAACTTCTTCAAGAGACCAGAAAATGCTTTAGGGGGCAAATGGAAAGTAGAAAGAGCAAGGCTGTTCACAGGCACGCCGAGAGGAGCTTTCCCGAAGCCTGGTCAGCTGAGGGGAACTGGAATCACTGGGAGAGAAAATGAGTCAGCGCTGGGGAGTCTCAGGTTGATACAAGCCCTGACCTGGCTTCCAGAGCCAGCTCTGCCCCAACCCGGCAGGGCAGGTGAAGGCAGGACAGCTTCTGTGGGCAAGGTGAGGTTGGTAAAATGTGAAAAGCTGAGAGGAAGGCAGGAAGGAAAGAAGGAATGAAGGAAGGAAGGAAGGAGTTTGTTAGAGCTGGAAGAAAAGGAGGAATGGAGTAGTCACAGCATCATCCGCCCAGAGAGGGGCAGTTCTGGTAGCACACGTGGATGATGCCTGAAGGGTGAAAATTCCTTCTTTAGGAGGAGAGTTAAAACCACCTATTTCCCTTGCTGTCGTACCCCACTTCTCCCCACAACGGCTCCGCTGTGGTCTGCCCTCATTCCGAGCGTGTGTCGCTTCCCAGCAAGCGGGAGGAAAACCAGCCACGTTTTAAGCCTCAGTAGCTGTGGCTTGTTTGGAGGAAGCTAGATTTAGCTCCCACAGCAGTTTGTGCTCTCAGCTTGCCGGGCAGTCCCTGGCTGGCAGCTCGAGGGGAGAGGAGAGCAGGGCAGCCCTGGGGAGCTCCCCGGGGCAGCCAGGCAAAATCCCTCTGGACATCTTTGCCAAGCAGTATTGGTCCCAAGGACCTTAAATACACGACTTTTAAAACAAAAACCATTAGAAATGGAATAGATTAAACTCTTAAGATTCACACTTTCAACTGAACTTTCTCTTCTGGAAAGCAGAACATTCCTAAGAAAAGCCTGAATTGAACCAAGCACTGATGTGTTGGACATGTCAGTCCTGATAAAATAGAGTGTCTAGATGAAATTGTGTTTCACTGAAAATGGTTTCAACCAGCTGTGATTTGGGAAAAAGTTATTCAGTGATTTGCAGAGGTTTCCAAGCACATCTTTAGCACCACTGATATTACAGTAAATACATTTGGTGGTACATCATCGTTCCTTATTTTAATTATTATTGCCAAATTCTTCTAGGGATTCACACACAATAAACTTGTGGAACTAGAGGAAATGCTTCTCATTTTCAGAGACAACTTTTTAAGTAGTTTAATAGGAAAAACTGGGTCCACTCTGATCACAGTACACAGAAAGGAAATATCAACCAAATGTTTCTTCTAAACAACTGCAAATTATTAATTTTCAGTGACGTCAGGCATGGCCCAACCGCCTCACATCAACGCCAGGAATTGGTGAACTTTGGCATCCCAAAGAGTGGCTGTGGGTGTGCGTGTGCACGTGCTCAGAGCTCAGAGGGGACAGGTTGGGGACACTGTGGCTGTGGCCTGTGTGGCTGTGGCCGGTGACTGTGACTAACAGTGACAGCGGGGTGGCTGTGGGCAGCAGCACCCTTGCATAAATGCTTCCAAAGTGTTACTTAGCAACAAAATACCAGCTGAAACACAGACAGAAATTAAGAAGGAATGCAAGGGGAAAATCCCTAAATCCCGTTTACACTTGCACGTGCTGGGTAGGGAGAAGAGCGTGGTCGGGGGGTGGCGGCTGGCAGGGCTGCGCTGGGAGAGGCCGTCGGACCCCAAAAGCGGCCTCTGAAATTCCTTTGGAAAGATTTGGGAGATTAGACAAATGTTGCTTATAAACATAAACTGTGTAATAAACAAACTTGGTGTAAATAACTAAGTAGAGTTTACTCGCTATTGAGAGCCCAGCGAGCTGTTCTGGTGTGGAAAGCCATTCTAAAATTAAAGGTTTGGTTAAAGAAAAATGTACACAAAGCCCTGTATATCCCCCTGCATCCCACCCTCACACACACCCTCTCCTGCAACCCACACAGACCCCCCCAGCTCCCCAGCATACCAAATCCTTGTTAGCGAACTTGTTTATTGCTAACCACAGCCCTTGGAAACTACAAATATTTAATTTCATCTGGCATTGGAACAGATGGGAGGCATCAGGCTCCCAAAGAGATAAAACAAATCTGTGGAAGGAAGAGGATTGTGAGTTTGGGTGTGGGTTGGAGAGTGTGTGGGAGCCCAGCAACCACATGGGGCTACCCTTGGTGCTGTCAGGCTCCAAGAGAGCTGCTGCGTCCCAGGGTGTGATGCCTGTATGGGGATTTTGAGGGATGACCAGTCCAGAGTCAGGCAGCTGTCGTGGTCCAGCTCCCTTTTTTGGCCAGGGAAGGTGGAGTGTGTTTATGGGCATGGAAAACATGCCAAGGGCAAATTGTGAAGCAGGACTGCCCGTGTCTCCCTCTGTGCTAGAGCAACCCCTGGACACGGTGCTGGGCTCTGGCCAAGGGCTTGGCAAGGACACCCCCATGCAGATGGAGAAGGGGACATTCCCAACCCAACCACGATGGGCTGCTGGCTGCACTCCCACTGCTGTTCTTCTGCAGGATTTGCCATGTATGTCTGCTGTGACACCAGTGCTGCTCATGGTCCAGGTACAGGGAGTGGTGGAAAAATGGAGCCCCACATATGTGGATACAGGATATAGGAGAGAGAGGCTCGTTTAAGCAGGCATCATGCTAAGGTGTGTGGGAGGGGAAATAGCATAAATAGGAATGTTTGAAATTATGCCAAGGGAAAGACAGCTGCATGGAGCAGCTCCACAGCCCACCATGGAACCCTCTGGGGCGCAGGGGTGCTGCTCCTCCCTTCCGTGCCAGTCTCAGCTGGGCACACCCGCAGCAGCCCCCGAGGGCTTTGCTCCCAGAGGGTCTCACAGGCTGTGTGGGGGCTCTGAGGGCTGTGGGTGCCCTTCCTGTGCTGTGGGTGAGCCACTGCCTGCGCCACCTCTGCTTCTGCTGCCGCTCAACTCTTCGCCCTTTCAGCCTTGGCACTGTTGCAGGCGAGATACAGAGTGGTAGAATCACAGAATGGGTTGGAAGGGACCTTAAAGCATCCAGCTCCAGCCCCTCTGAATTAGCGGGGACAGGGGACAAATTTCCAGGAGCAGAACTTGCCACCTCCAAGGAGAGAGGACGTGCAGCTCTTGGGACACGGAGATCCCCGGGGTGTTTGCCCCGGCTGTCAGTTTGTTGTTGCAGAGCACTTTGCATGGCAATAAAAGCAGGAGGTCAGTGACCAGGAAGTCTTTATCCTGAGGCACTCTGCTGCTCTGGCTGTCCAGGCATCCATGCTGTGAAAAATAAGTTTTAAAGTAATGTCAGACTGATGGAGAATGAACCCCGTGGCCTTTGCAGCAGCCCTGGTGTTCTTGGTTAGGGTGGGTGGAACAGATGGGTTCTCTCAGTCACTCTGCACCGTTACAATAATCCTAACTGTGCTGCTTAGTCCATTTGTCATTAGGGTCGCTTACACCTATGGGAAATCAGAAAGAAATGCAGCAGGAAAAAAATCCTTCTGCTCTTCCAAACTCATTAGCTTTTACCATTACCAAAAGTGATTTCAGCAGTGCCATGAGGAGATCTGTGCTGGGCCAGAGCTCATGGAAACAGAGCTTCCTCTTGGAGCAGCTCACACCCAACACACAGGAGGTGCCATGCAAAAGAGAATCATACATCCAGCTTTATTATCAGAGGCTATCTTACCTCCCACCTCTTAGCAAAGGACTTTG